GTATTATCTTTTTCTTTCTTCTTTTAATGCTCAAGACTGCAGGGCTTCTTCTGGAAGATTTTCTTATTGCTTAATTCTTCTTTTTTGTGACTTTTTTTTTTTTTTTTGCGGAACCAGGGATTGAACTGAGGCCCTTGCGCTTGCCAGGGAAGCGCTTATTCCACTGAGCCATCTCCCCAGCCCCCCGCCCCCCTTTTGCCTTTTGGAGACAGGGTCTCCTGTGCAGTTCAGGCTGGCCTTGAGCTCACTTTGTAGCCCATGGTGGTCTCAAACGTGCAAGGATCCTCCTGCCTCGGCCTCCCCGAGGGCCACCATGCCCGGTTTAATAAATTATTCTTAAAGTTAATTCCGCTGTGATTATGGCTACCCTGCTGCTGAGCAGGAGCATCCACAGCCAGAGCTTGCTGGGCAAGTTTCACATCGGCCCCTTCATGGCGAAGTCTGCAAATCCGTGAGTGGCCGCAGGCCAGGCCACTTCCTAGGGTGCCTCTGGCAGCCAAGGGCAGGCCCAGACTGAGGCTCTTCCTCTGGCTCTGCGTCCTGGCTGTCCCTGCTGCTGCTCCTGGCCAGGGCGGCCGGGACCAGCAGTGTGTCCACAGGCAGTGCTGTTCTGAGGCGACAGCAGCCCTGGGCCACTCTTGCAGGCTGCGCCCAGCTCCCCCAGGCTGGGCCCATGAGGCCAGGCTTGGGAACCAGTTCCCTGAGGTCACCGCGCTGCCCTGCTTCCCCCAGGGCAGCTTCCTGGAAATCCCTCCACTGACTTCAAGGAAACCCAGCTGTGCTGCAAAGGGCAGTGCTCAGAAGCAAGGGGCTCTGGGAGGGGCTCTCGGGTTTACAGGGGAGGAACAAGTTAGTGCTGCAAGCAGGGGCCTGAGGAGACCCAGGTTTAAGCTAATGGGCTGTGCTGACAGTGCTCTGGGGCCAGGAGGCCGTGTGAAGCCGCCCTACTCCTATCCCCTCTCCTCCCCATCCTTTCCTCTGCCTCCTCCCCTAGCTCTCTGTCCCTTTGCTCCCTCCCCTCCCCCTCCCCACACCTTCCCTCCCCCACTCCCTTCCCCTACTTGTCCCCCTTGCCCTCTCACCCCTTCCTCCCTTTTTTTTTGCCTCGCCCTGCCCCCCAGGAGAGTCCTGAATGCCCAGAGCAACCTTCACAGGTCCTGCCTTGTGTGGGAAGGTAGCGCTGCAGGGACAGCCCTTTGCTGTGGTGGGAGGGCTCTCCTTTCCAGGCCTTCCCTGGCTTTCAGGTGACCTTGACAAACCAGAGGGTGCAGGGCACAGGCGGGGAGGGTTCTTGTCCTGACTGAGCCTGGGCTTCTCTGGCTGCCGCCTATGGCCCTCCCCTTGGGTGGTGACACCACTGTAAACAAGGCCTGACATACCCTTCCAGGGAGCCCTCCATAAGACAGGGACCGGCGCCTCTCCCTCTTTTAAAGAGAAAGAGACCCAAACCAGAAACTGACTGGGAACCTGGGGAAAGCAAGGATTCACAACATCATATTTACAGATGGACATTGTTGTCCTTAAAGGACATTTTTGCTGAGGCCATCCTGATCGTGACTGTGTGCTCCCCACCATTCTGTGGTCCTGGGTGGCCAGGGGAGCGCAAGGTGGGCAGGGCTGCTCCAGGCGGGGAAGACACTGGGAGCCATCATGGGCGTCTCCAGGGCAAGAACTGCCTGGCGCCCCAGGACACAGTGATGGCAGACACGGGTCTCCGTGCACTCACTGAGCCACAGCACACACCCGAGTTCAGGTGGGAGCCCCATCCCTAGCGTCAGCCGTGGGCCTGAGTTAGCGGCTGCATGCCTTGGTTTGCTGCCTTAGAGAAGCGCGCCAGGCCGACAGCAGGTTCTAGCAGTGGGAGCTGCTGGGGTGCCTGGGGCCTGGGTGCTTCCTGGAGCCTCAAACCACGCAACTGAGCCCCCACCTGGCACATACTGGCCTGGGTTCCACCCCCAGCACCACAAAAAATGAGAACGGTGAAGGCTGCTAATTACAAACAAAATGGTACAGAAAACAAATCCAGAAAAAATTGAAATTAAGTATTTGACATGTTCTAGTGCACATGCATTACCAGTGTTAACCTTGGCACGGGGAGCTCAATGACAGCACAGAGCCCCTGGTCCTATTTAGTTCCTGGTGTGGCAGGCACGGGGGGGGGGCAGTGTAAAATGTCTGCCACCGCCAGCCCAAGTGGCCAGCTCAGTGCTGCCATGGGCTGTGGCCGGTCTCCAGGGCTTGAGTCGCCTCCCTTCCTGCCGGGGCAGGGCCGTGGCCCAGGGCGTTTCCTCCAAGGACCCAGCACAGCCAGCCTTATCATCTGCACAGTCCTAACGCGGGGGGGCCAGCGGGGGCAGAGTGCTGCTCTGTGGGCTGGGGAGGGACTTCAGGCAGGTGCGGGGTCCCTGTCCCAGGACAACCCTGGCCGAACACTGAGGAACAGGGGTCTCCAGCGCACTTCTGCCAGGCCAGCCCAAAGCTGTGGGTTATAGCCAGCATCCTCCTGCCAAAGAGGTTCACTAGTGAGTCCTAGAGGCATTGACCCAGTGCTGTGACAGGTCCCGGGGCCCGCGAAGCCCAAGGGTGACATGGTGCCAGGCACAGGTGACTCAAGCCCTCCTTGGGGTGGGAAGTGGACTGGGTCCCTCTGTTGAGGCCAGGCTCTGAGGGGGCACGGGGACAGGCGTGGCACTGGGGGCAGGGGACCTCCTGGGTGGAGCAGCAGGCAGGACCAGAGAGCACAGAGCCCGAAGGCGCTGCGCAGCCTGGCTCAGCCACAGTCCCAGCTTGGGCGGGGCATGGAGGGCCAGGCCAGCACCAGTGGAGTGACATGGCCCGAAACGCCAAGCTTCAGGGGCTGATATTGTTTTTCTTCTATTTTTAAGGCTGTATTTGAATCGCAGTAAGAATTCAATGTATTACTGCTGACATCAGTCATAAAATCGTGGTGCTTCAGCCATGTTCAAATCTCTCACTGCACATGTGCATAGCTGTGTGTTACCGGGTCCCCTGACAGGCAGGGCAGAGCTTAGGCTCCAAGCCCCGACTGCCCCTCCTTTCTGGCCACCCCGAGGGAGGTGGCAGTGGTGTGCAAGCTTCAGGTTGTAGCTTGCTGCTCTGGGGCCTGTCCAGGACTGGCTCCTCTGAACCCCATATGGGCCCAACCCCCACATCGTGCCCCACAGTTCCCCTCATCTAGCTCTACCTGGGCAGAGCGTGGAGTCTACCATCCCATGACCAACTCAGCCAGGTGCTGGACCTCAGGGGTGACAGTGGCAAGGGAGGTGAAGAGACCCCTCTGGAGGTAGCAGCTGGGGTTCTGTGCAGCTGCTGGAGGATTACTTGAGCCGCTCCCAGGCCTGGCCCACCAGCAGCAGGAGACACTCTGTCGCAGCTTCCTCTCTGCCTGGGGCCCTGAAGTCTTGTCCCGCTCCAAGGGACTGAAGGACAGAACTAGGCTGAGGAGCCTGGCTGTGCTGCACGGGGCTTGGCTGCAGGGGTGTGCACCCCACTGCATCTCCCTGGCCTGCATGCTCCCAGGAGCTTTGTGCTAACGAAAATAGCCCTGCTTGGTATTTTAAAGAGGCCAAATGTGGTGGCGAGAAAATGTTATTATTTGGTATTTATTTTTACTTTTTTTTATTAGGACCTAGAACATCACAGTCAGTGGGCAAGCTTTTAAATAAAAACAGAATTGCTCTCGAGGAGGGACTGTGTGCTGGGAGACAGACAGATAGAGGAGAGACAGAGGCAACGGAGACAGGCTCCTACACTTCTCACATGGTCGGCATGGTGTGCTCGCAAAAGCGTAATCAATGTGCCTTTGATCAACAGAGCGGGCGGTGACAGCAGCTCCTCGCAGGCTGCGGTCCTATCGTCCTATCGACAAGCCGGTAATGACCATGCTGCCCGTGTCACTCACACTGAGGACATTAGCATTGCTAAAGGTCAGAAGCATGCTCTTTCGAAATGCAGCTTCTTAGGGTTCAGAGAAGACTCAGAATTTGTAAAAATCAAATTTGCACTGATATTAGTGAAAATGTAACACTCAGATGTCTGTGTTTCCCCTCACTTTTCACGGAAATATGATTCTGTCTGTAATCCTGGCCCAGTGCAACCCTTCCAACCAGAGTATGAAAAGGATTCTGGGAACTTCTCTGCCCCTGGGAGGCCTGGACTGAAAGGAAATGCAGACCCAAGGCCAATCTGCACCACATCGGGTGACATCGTACTCACTCTGTGACACTCGTACAAGCTCAGTCACACTGAAGACTCCTGATGTGACAAAGCTGTCCTGGAAACCCAGATGTCCTGTGGAAACAAAAACAGAAGACAGCATCTTGAGTCAGGGGCCTGCAGCAGAGCTCCACACGGCCGTGAGGCTTAGAGGCGGCTCCCTGTGCCTCCAAGGCCTGGGCCCGACTCATGTGAGGTATCTGGTGACACAGTGGTCTGGTGACCGAGACAGCTCTGGGTTGACTCCAGAGGCCTCTGCAAGCTGGGACACACCAGGGTTTTTGAGGTGGTCTAAAAAAAATTCAACAGGAAATCTGAAACAAAAGATAATTTGAAAGAAATGGTCACCCAGAGTGACCTCTGAGACCTCAACAAATGGGATGAAAGTCTTGCGGCAAAGAACAGCCAGGATGGCCGAATTCCACAATAGTTTAAAACATTTTTCTCTAAAGACACATCAGATCAGGATTAGTTATGCGTTTACTTAAACCAAACAAGATTTAAAGATGTTAGTCTCCTTTTCTAGAATTACTACAGGGAGAGATTTCTTGAAAAGTCTACAATGGCAAAAGCAAGCTTACTCCATTAAATACAAAGGGAAATTATTCTGTGTACAAATAAAAATTTAGATATGCTGAGAGGACAAATATTTTTGTGTTGGCTAAGTTTGTTTGATAAAACATAAATTGATGGTTCAAAATTGATGAGTCCATGAATTTGATACCTACTTCATTTTTGTGAATATAGTTAATTTCCTTTAAGAGAAGTAATGTGCCTCTGGTACTAATTACTTATTGGTAATTTCATGGCATGTGCAGAAACATACAAATAGCATAAACATCCAAAATCGAACACATGGACTTTAACTCTCTGCCCCCAAAAGTCTTCTGATTCTAGTCTGCTACAGGTAGATTTTAGTAAAGAATCTGTCTGAATAGACTAATGTCTGCCAGCTTTAAATTTTGGCTCAAAGCAGTTGTTAGCTGAAGGAATTTTTGAAGAAATGAGAAGAGACATAACCTTTAAGACATGCAATGAAAGAGAACAGACTAATCTGAGTACCTACCAATGCACAGATAAAATGGATTTTAAAATAAAATCTATTTTTCTACACTACTGGGAGAAAGCAAGTTGATATAGAGTATTGAATAGACACCAGTACATTTATCAAATTTGCACATAAACATATGCAAAAATCACTAATGTTTTGGGGGATTACAAATGGAGCTATGAGTTGTGCTTATTTTGGCTACAACGGATTTTTGGATAAGGAAGATTTTTAAACTGAGATTTAAAGGAAAAATTATCAGTTAACTTTGATATCCAACACACATCTCTGGTATTTTAGATAAAACCATTCTAATTCTTAGGCTACTCTGTAAGCATTAACTGCTTTATAATAAAATGACAAAGTTTGACTTCAATGTGCTTAAGATATTTTACCTGTCAAAACAACCCACACCCAGGTATTCGGCTGGCTTTTATTTGTTAAGTGCCTAAGGTGCTGTCTCTTGGATTAAAAGAACTGAGAAGTAGAAAAATTAATAAACAAATAAAAATTCTCTAAAGAGGTTTTGGCAAAACAGACCATAACATTTCTTTCTAACTGGGATGTGAGTAAGACCACATTTACCCTAAAGATAATCACAAAGGAAGTGCAGCCACAACACAGACTCAGGCTGACTCAACACACGTGACAAGGAAGTTCAGAGCCAAACACAAAATCCGGTTGGCCTCCAGCTCCCGCCTTTTCTTTCTGTCATTTGATTTACGGGCTGCTACTTGCATCCATTCCAATCTTTGAAATCCCTTATTTTAAGGAAGAATTAACAAGAATTTTCACTGAGCGAACATAAATACAGGCCCTTTCATCCTGCTACCAAAGACCAAGGAGCACATCTCAGAGATGAGGCGGGGTTTGAGGCGCGGTGCAGGGGGTGCCCATCCCTTAGCCCTCACCCTCCTGCGCCGACCGCCTTCTTCTGCCGGCCTCTTTAGTGCTCCCCAAGGTGGGTTCCCCACCCCCGAATTGTTTTACCTGTGCCTGGGACATCAGCCACCTGTGTCGACTGATAACTGAAAACCAGACTCGCTGACATGCTCACCACTCTAACCTAATGAGGAAAACAAGGCTGTCAGGGCTGTCTGCTGAACGTGGATTGGATGATCCACCAACCAGGGCCTCAAATCTTTGCACTGGTCCCAGAGGATACATCTCAGGAAACATCTGAGGGCATCTGTGCAGAGAGCCCAGGAGCCCAGACCCAACATGAGCAGGGTGGAGCCCCACCTGTCCTTGCTCTTCTGATTCCCTACGAAGTGAACCGCCCCACCCACCTGCCTTCCATGTGTCTTGGCACCAGGACGCCCCCTCATCCTGTGACCCCTCAATCAGCAACCCCTTGACTCTTTCCTTCTGTTTCTCCACCCCTTCGTCTCTCGTGACAGGGGCTTAGCCTAGGGGCTTTCCAACCCTCACGAGCTGCCAAATCACTTGCTCACCACCACTGGCCTTGGACTCCTCCCTGGCCCCTTTCCACCCTGCTGCCGGGGCAATCTCCCAAGGGCAGACCCAAGAACTCGCTTGTGCTGTACACACCCACCCCGTGCTGGGCACCGTGCAAAACTCTACAGTCACTACATGCAGAGGTCACCACTAAGGAACAGGGTGAAAACATCAAAGACGAACCTTTGAAGAAAGGACAGGCAGTAAAAGTGACACGAAGAAACTATGTGGGCAAGCAGCAAGAGGGTCTCAGGCATCTGCTCCTAAGGACAGACACTGAATGTGCCAAGGAGCCAGACCAGAGGGCTGGGTATGCACCAAGACAGGAGCGAAGCGGCCTCTGGGCAGACAGTGTGGCCCTGCACCTGGGGCTCCCCTAGCGAGCCCTCACGGTCAGGTGCACACAGCTCCCGCCAGCACCAGGACAGGACTCAACATTTCTCTCTGCTCCTTCCAGGCCCCAGGGCCAGAGGGGGACCCTAGCCCTGATCGCGAGTGTCTGGCCTCCCTCTCGTCCTGCCCTCCAGGGTCCCACTTTCACTGCTGTCCAGAGGGGCCAGGTGTGCAAAGCTCCAGCTGAGGTCTGCTGTGAACCGCCACACTGCTCTTCCTCTGCTCAGCTGTGCCCTCCAAGCCAGCGGCCCCGTCCACCTCAGTTCCCAACCTGGCACCTGGTGACCCGGGACAGAGCTTCCTTTCCTCCCGGGATCCACACCGATGCTTCCTTCTGCCTCTTATGCCCAGTGACAGGGCTTTCTAGCACAGAGCCCACTTATGCCAAGAGCAATGGCGTGAGCCATGTGATATTCCCTCCAAGTCTGGGAACACGGTGAAGGAGGCCCACAGAGACGCACAGAGATGCGCTTTTGGCCCCACAGACACTGCTGGTCTCCCTCATAGGACAGCAGAGTTAAGGATCCCTGGTTGCTGTTGTCTTGTTCCCAGTTTGCAAGCCCACGGACAGTGTTATTTAACTGCCCTATGGGGCAGGAACCCCCATGTCTAGAGCCACCCTGACCCTAGGACTGCTTGCCGTACTGAAGTCCCTGCAGAAGCGAGCCCTACCTGCCTTGCAGCTCAGTGGGAAGTGCACAACACAGCCAGTGTCTGCCCAGGTCCGATGGAACATCTCTGCAGTGTCATCAGGGTACCTGGCTGGCTGACATTCCTAACCTGCCCTTGACAAGAGGTCTACAGAAACAGTCATGGACTTCTGAGTGGCAATGAGACTGGTTTTGTTCCTTCCCGGATTATTGTGAAATCTATTGATAAACTGCTGGAAGATGGTAAGGAGACACGAGGGCCCAGAGCTGATGGGATGGCAACGTGGCTGACAATTCCTCCATCACCCATGTTTCCACCTCAGTAACACACCAAATCCCAGAAATGACTTGCAGGATAATTACACCAATCTTGTTCTCTTCTACTGCAAAGGAAAAAAAAAGTAGAAAAGAAAATAAAAGGATAAATTTAAGCAGCTTGGGATTCAGGTATTACTCTTGTGAAAAGATTCTCAGTGGGAAAGTTGCTCCAACATTTCCAAACACCCCAAGGTCTACACGGTGAACAGGGTACCTCAGAAATGAGGACGAGGGCTGGCCAGATAGCTCAGTGGACTAAAGCACCTGCTTAGGCAGAGTGCAGAGCTGGGGTTTGATCCCTGGCATACCATGCCAGCCCCGACCTCGGGGTGCACTGAGACAGCAATTGAGACTGGATGTGGTGGTGTGTGCCTGTAATCCCAGCACGTGGGAGGCTGAAAACAGGAGGACCACTGAGAGTTCAATCTGTGCAGTGAGACCCTGTAGACCCTGTACTAAAATACATTTTTTTTTAAGAAGAGAAAGAAATGAGGACAAAACAGACATTTCTGTTAAGAGAGCTGCAAACGAAGGGCTCGCAGCTTGAGGATCTCTGAATGCTGAGCTGCTGTTCAGCAGCAGCTGCACAGGAGGCTGGAACGAGGTGCAGAGCCTCTCTTGTTTTGCGTAAAATGGCTAAAAAGTTCATTCCCTAGGTCTCGTTCAGGGATTCTCAGAGTGCAGTTTCAGTGCTGTGAATCCATTGTATTGGTGGGGAGAGGTGAGCCTTTTCGTGAGCAGGAGAAATGTGAAAAGCTAAATTCTCTCACGGGCAGTTAGGAAAAGCAATTCCCAACCTTGGTGATTCCAGCAACGATTATGGAAAATGTCATTATATCAGAACGAAACCTCATTTCACAGGACGGAACATCTCTCTACCTTTCCATAGGCAGGAGGAAAGGGGCAGATTCGCAGGAGGCTGATCACCTTCCAGGGCTGCACGGAGGCTGGTGGGTGCACATGAGCCCCGGGACCTGAGGTGGGAGGTCATGCGTGGTACCGCGGCACACACTGGCCTCTCCTGCCTCCCCTCCAGGTGCCTGGGGCTCCCTGGCCAGCACGGGCAGGCAGACTGTGCTCCCCACGCTGCACAGGGAGCTCTGGGTGAGGGCTCCCATCTCCAGCCAGTTGCCTTCCTGAGGACACGCAGACACCCTGCTCTCCCTCCCAGCTCCTCCCAGGGACGCCCATTTCCCTCGGGAGCCCCA